GTTGCTTTACCTGAGATCGATTTGAAATGTACGCCGATACGTTCACCGTTTTCGCAAGCGAAGAACAATGCGGTGGTCTATCGGGGTCCATTTTGACGCACACTGTAGTGCTATAAAGAGGACCACTAGGCCAGCATGTACTCGACTTCAGATAATTCCATAAAGAAATCGTTACAAATGTTAGTTAAATAATCCATGAAAATTTGTGTTTATTTTGAGTTTAGAATGTCACCTATGACATAGGCTGTTTATCGTCAGAAGTCTAATTAAAATTGGAAGTCGACAGGTATCCAGAGTTCGCATATTATAGATCAACTATCCATAGCCATTCATCGCTTGTCATACGCTCTTTCGCCTTAAATTTGAGCTTCAATTTAAGACAATTTTGTATGCGTCCGCCTGATTACAGTTGACTAGTATTCATAGTTGAAACACAACCTATGGATCTATGGACCTGTCTCTAGCCGACATCGCGTAGAAGATGTGATCTTGTTTCTAGCCGACAGTATGCTTTCTTCTTCTGTGGATTCTGATGTGGGAGCGTAGACTTGTAAGATGTTCAGTGCAAATAGTTTTGAGTCAATCTTCTGAAGCATTGTTCTGTCGGAATCAGGGATGAAAGTATTCAATAACTCTGCGATATTTTTTGAAAGAATGATTCCGACTCCCTTGTTTTGCCTGTTCGTGTCATTGCCTGAGATATATTTTGTCATCGCATTGACATTTACTTGAGCTTGGACAGAATGTTCGGGTCACTCCTAGGATATCAATGTTGAGTCTTTTCATATCTCTGATAGTATTGGCCAATGTTCTTCAACGATTAACGACACGATTGTAACAACCCGGATTTTTTGGTTCGCTATAATTTTTTCTGGGGTGTCTTCAGCCTTTGTCCAGAGACAAGGATGCGACTTCTCTAATGAAAGATGTTAAGTTCAATTTTAAAAAAAGTACTTACTTAAAATAATATTATTTCATGTGATTTAAAAAAGTATGTTAAAAGAAAATAATTAAATGTAGGTGGTATAAATGTGAGATTATTTTCTGGCTTGGGTTAAACGCTGACGATGTAGATTTATCCTTTGAAGGATTATAAACTTGAGACTCTAAAATCCGTTTGGGTAAAATGCTGGTGTCGTAGTTTTTATCCTTTGCAGGTTTAACGCGTTTTGCTCTCTGATTTATCTGTTTTGAAAAAGGGACAAGTAAAAATATATTTTTAGGTATTATATAACATATATATATATATGTAATAATGCTTAACAGTA